TCTTGTTGGATATAGGCGGATGAGTTTTATTTGGTAGGGTCTGTGTGCCTATTGATGTTTGGGTGGCAACTGTACGAGATGATTTAACAGCACTCGCGTATGATGTATTTGGTCGAAGCTGTGTGCTCTGGACTAATTTTCTGGCTTCGGAGTAAGAGATGTTCCTAGTAACTTTTGTAGTCTGGATTTCTTTTTCCGATTTCCATTTTGGGCACAAGCGAGAAAATGCTGGGTGCTCACCCTTTCAATTTATACACAAAGGGGCAGCGGTACAATTATCAGAATCGTGGCCAATCTGTGAGCATCGGGCGCATGTGAGGCTGCCACAACAAGACGTCTTAGAATGGCCGAAACGCTGGCATTGGAAACATCGCATAGGGTTTGGAATATAAGGTCTTACAGGAATTTTTAGATATCCGGCCTTAATATTCTTAGGCAGATCAGGTGTGAAGGTAAGGATCACGTGTTTCGTGTCTATCAACTTACCTTCTTTACGCATCTTGATCCGCCTTACACCGCAGACATTTTGGTCGGATAGCTCAGAAGCGATCTCTTCTTCAGAAACATACAGAAGGTCGAATTCTGAGATTACACCACAACAATAGTTCAGTGACTTATGTGCTGTTACAGTGACATTCGCTTGCCCAAGTTTAGTTATCTGAAGTAAAGAAGCAGACTGGATGGCTGAGGTTGTATCAATAAGCAAATCTCCGGAGCGGAGACGCTTTATATTTCTCGGCTCACCAATAAGGGACTGGATGTATTTGTTTATTACGAAAGGAGACATCTTATGCATTTCGCCATAAGGACTAGAGATGACTAGGAAACGGGGACTATTGTTATGATTTTTTCATTTGCATCTGTACGTAACTTTTTTGCAAAATTTTCAGAACTAGGTTGAGTGACAGGTTGAGTGACTGGTTTAGTAGTAGACGTTTCAGATTTAGGTTGAATGACTGGTTTATTAGTAGATGTTTCAGAACTAGATTGAGTGACTGGTTTAGTAGTAGACGTTTCAGAACTAGGTTGAGAGACTGGAGTAACTTCAAAATCTTTTATTAAAAAAATATGTGAATTTGCCATATTGAAAATAGAAAAGATTCGGGTCCGACGGCTCCGCCCACCCCGGAGCCCAACAAGGGAACACAGATTCCTGTGTTAGGGCTAGCCGGACCTATACGCAAACTGAAGCCCCACAGTCGGCTTTCCCGAAAGCAGGTACTCCCGAGAGCTTGACCCCAAGCCACTGACACAAGGACTAATGACCAGCCGATTGACACCCGTGAGGATGACTAAGGTGCCTCCCGTTTAGCTGAAGCAGAGGCCAAAGCAGTGTGTTGGGGACAGTACCTCGCCCCTCAACTACCAGGACCCTCCTTTCCAGCGACACGGGTCTCCACGCACGGCAAACACGTGGGCAGTTTTCTCGCCACTCGAGAACTAGAGACAAGGTCTGTTCCAGTTTCTCGTGACGAGCCCCAAACTCCGTAGAGAGAAACCACGAGGGAGAAGGGAAGGGAGAAAGTTCCAGCTAAGAGGAGAGGAGACGGAAAAGAGGATAGATCACTGGGGCTCCAGGATCGTGACACCCGTCTCACCAAGAAGATGATCCCCTGAATGGCTAGGGTTCCTCGGGATTGCCACACCCGTACTCACAAAAGTGAGCCCCCTTAGGGAAAAAACGTAACGGGAAAAATGACTTGATATTACATGCAAATATTTTTAACATCTTAAATATTTTTATAATCAATTCAAATGCTTATTGAATGCTTCTTAATTGTCCGATTATTTTCAGGTAACAATTTGTGAAAGGCTAATTTTAATTGCCATATTCTGCCACTCAGCCTTGAAACTAAAGTCATTTTTACCTCCATTAATAAAAAATTCCATATTCTCCCAATACCAATCTACCAATTTTAAATGTGTAGTTACTTTACAGATCGGTAGGTGGCGCCACTAAAATAGTTGTTTTTACACATTTTTTTTTTCCTCTTCGCCATTTTATTCAAATTTGCATGATTACATTTATTATTATTTGATATTCATAATTTTTTACGTTTCACAAAATATTTATTTCTTTTGCTGTTTTTTATGGTGCGTATAAGAAAACTTTCAGAAACGCATATTCACATATTCGAGAGTTCTTTGGTTCGATTCCCGGTGAAGGCATTGCTCATTTTTCAAGTCTCCTGCATCCAAAAAGAATCCTGGCGTCTTTACAGTATTAGGTACGGTCGTGGAATAGCAAGCTTAAACTAATAAGCAGCAACGTGGTCAAAAGGCAGAACACGCTCTCCTACTAAAGTAACTCAGACTTCAGCTTAAATACTTGTTTCTACCTTATTTATAAAAATTGTAATTCTGAAAACTCATTCTGACAGGGAAATGTAGGTATGAAATTAGAATGTATAGGAAAGGCTTGTTCCAAAATAAAAATAACTGTTAGAAAAATAAACAAATCCCTACAATATAATTTCAGTAGTTAAAATTGAACGTGTTGTTTCCAGTAATGATTGTACATGCATATGCGATTTTTAAATACCAAATTTGAGAAGTTCTGGATTATACCGTAATATTTTTTTCACGAAAAATCTGTTCAGGACTTCAAATAAAGTATCACTCCTAGTTTATCGATTTTAACCGAAACCTTTTATGCTATTCTCACTGATATAAAAAACCTTAAACAATAAAATTCGAGTAAAGTACCACTTCCGTTTGTCCAATTTTATCCCAAATCTACTCAACTCTTTACATGAATACAGAATTTTGAAGATACTAATGCATTTCCATATATGGACTCAGAGAAATCTATTAAGATAGACAGACCATCGGATACGTGACCTTGATGCAAACAGAGAAATCAAAAACACAATTACTAGATTGAGGACCCGCCGTTTTAGAAGAATGAAAATTAATGCAAACGGTACCAGATCATATAGAACTTGTAGAAACTGCCCCGAAACGAAGCTTTCTCCAGAACGCATCTTCACCTTACAGAGGCTGTTCGCACATTTTTTAGACAATTTTGGTAAGCGGTAATAAAAATTCGTTTGCTGCAAAAGAAGTAATTGCAATTGTACTGTGTTTTTAAAAGTCAAAATTATCGTCTGTGGCTGAAAAGTTTTTTTATTCAAATGGCGAATTTAACAAAGCAGTGGTTCGAAGGCTTCATTTACGCTCTTTCCGAAGAGAAATATGCATACTCCGTTATCCAAAAACGATGTGAGAGTCATGGTTTTGTTACATCTAAAGCGTCGATAGGTAATATCATTAACAAGAAAGGAAAAAAACGTCAAATTGGAGCCTCAAGTGGGACAAAAATTCTAAACAAGTATCCAAGGAAAAAACGAACATCTTCGACTATTGCAAAGGTACGTTGTTTAATGTTAAAAGAAAATCCCTTTAGTCAAAGGACAGTTGCAAAATCGTTAAAATGCTCGGTGTCTACTGTAAACAAAATGATGAACGTTGATTTATATCTTAAGAAAGCGAAAAAACGCAATGTGCATTGTCTTCTTCCAAAGCATATCGCTCAACGCAGGACACGCTGCAGAATTCTATATGAGAAACACTTATCCAAAGAAAAATGGAAAACAATTGTCACAATAGATGAAACATGTGTGTATTTAAATGATTGTAGCAAAAAAAGAGCCATTTATTATCATAAAAGGGATGGAAAAAATTTAAGTACATGGTTCAAAGAATCGAAAGAGAGTTTTTCTAAAGGGATTCATAATTGTTGCTGGTTTTTTCTTATAATGGCAAGTTAAAAATAAAGAGAGTGCAAAAAAATGTCAAGATTAACTCCAAATACTATCAGGAATATATTTTATCGCCATTTTTTCTGGATAAAATATCATCGCTTTGCCCACAGTGCCATCAATCTGTGAGACTCCATCAGGACAAAGCTAGCAGTCACACATCAAAATCCACTGTAAATTTCCTAAAAGAAATGGAACAAAAAACTGGTATCAAGGCCATACCCTTCACTGATATCCCTGCTAAATCTCCCGATGTGTCATCTATGGATTTTTGTGCTTTCGGACTTTTAAAAACTGCATTATCCAAACGTTGTCCCAAAAACCCTAACAGGACTCTGGAAAGCTGTTCAGGAGGAATGGAATAGAATACCTCTTCTGCCACTTCAAAAGGCATTATTATCCTGGAAATTGCGGTGTCAAAAGATAGTTCAGAATAAGGGATGTCAAATAGAACATTTAAAACACAAGAATTTTATGCAATTTAGTTTTGTGAATACAATATACATCGTCTAAAAAATGTGTGAACAGCCTCTGTATAAGGTATTTCTCCCGCCTTCTTAACATGCCTTCGTAGTCTAGTGGTCAGCACGTTCGACGCGTATTCGAGAGATCCGTGGTTCGAGTCCCGGCGAAGGCGTTGCGCATTTTTCACGTTTCCTGCTTCAAAAAATACCTAATGATTCTACAACCTGTCCGGCAATACTTAAAGTTCTGCAAAGCTTGGGGGGGGGGAATTTCCTTTCCAAGGAGAGGCTGTATAGTGAAAAGACTGTCGAACTGGCAGAAGCACTGATTTCTACGCATGGATCCATTTGACTTCTGAAAGGACGCGACACTAAGCAACCAACGAAAATGAGTGCAGAAAGTTTGAACACGGAAAAGGAAATCTTTTGAAAGTTTAACATAATTGTTACCGTGGATGTAAAAAATCCTCACGTACATTTAGACATCATTCTGAAAATTTTAAAAACGTGCTGTGGGAACCCTAGTTCCTGCTTATTCACTGAAAACCCACAATCGAATTTTTGGACTAAAAATGTTATCTATGTAGACTGTTGGATGGTAAAAAGGGGGAAGATAGTTTAGTGTACTGTGATGAAATTTTATATCATTAATTTAAAACTTATATATCCAATGCTTAACGTATTTGTAATGTTTCAAAACACTAAAATGATATTGGAGCAGACTTAATTTTTATTATTTCTTTATTCTCTCACAACAAAAAAATTTGTTTTTCAGAATTGCCAGCAGGCATTTTGCGAGAACCATTTTTCAACGTAGATCGACCACAGTAAGTTATCAGCCATTCTGAATTCTTAGCCACTTTTAAAAAATTTTGTAGCCTTCTTCAATTTTTTTTAACACGGTTTACATTTTATAACACTTTTCTTTTTTATAATGCACTATTATTTCTATGACGTCATTTCAAGAGTCAAGGATTTTTCGCTATAGCTGTTTCACCGTTGATCTTTCGCCGACAGGACAATCCCCAGGCGGCTCACTCGCCGTGAGCCTTTCCCCGTCAAGTAGAAAAGAAATACGTAAAAAACGTTACTTATGATATATCCAAATGTTTACAAATACGGGATATAAAGAAATTATACGTAGTTAATTAGAAAATTATATCATTATCAAATAGAACAATTTTATCACATTTCATAATTATAGGCTAAACCTCTGTATACAATATAAGTTATACATTTAGAACTGACCTATTTCATTGGACTGTAGTTTTCAGAAGTCTTTGAAGACAATAAAGGCCCATACGGCCGGCTTCTTTTATTAGCAGCGATTTTTGGCAATAATCGCATCTATACAAAAACAAAATAACAAGACTTGCACAAACTCGGTTTCCATGTACACATTGACCTACTTTCACTTAAAAAAATCACAGTATTGCACAAACTAGGCATTGCGCAATCCCTTGACTTTGTCCATGTACACATCGATATATTTTCACTTGAAAAGCCAAAGGAGCATCCAATTCTAGGTAAAAGTATATTTATGGAACATTCAATTACTCGGGTTACCATAAATGAAACCACTTGGCGATAAACGAAACAACAACTGAGCGATAAATGAAACAACAATTTCGCGATAAACGAAACAACAACCGAGCGATAAATGAAACAACAATTTCGCGATAAATGAAACAACAACTTCGCGATAACCGAAACAACAACTTCGGGATAAATGAAACAACAACTTCGCGATAAATGAAACAAGAACTTGGCGATAAACGAAACCACAACTTAGCGATAAATAAAACAACTTCGCTATAATACAAGGGGTAACCTTCAATCTACTTTAATCACAAATATTTTCTGACCTTATTTTTTATATAACTGATAATATAAATATCAATTGAACTTAGCACAAATTATACAAATTCTGATTTACACGAATTAGATGTATTATTAATAAATAAAGATTCAAATCAATAAGCCACTTAATTGCTTTTAAATCTCTCAGGTTGTTGAGCAGTTAACGATAAATTAAATGTGCAATGCAAAAATGATGATCAGTTTTGCGGAAATGCAAAAGCTGTGAATACGGAAGCGCATGCAGGATAAAGTCTAAGTTTCATACAGCGAAAATGCTTTCCAAACCGAATGGATGATAAATGCATGGTACAAAAAATTTCCGAAGACATTTCCAAATGTTTTGCATTACTGATATTCAGAATTATATGTCTTTAAAATTAAATTTTCTGAAATGCTTCTTTATTTATTACCTGATATCAATTATGTACAACAAAAATTTTACAATTTTTTTGTTATTCATTGGAATATTTTTTCTCAGCTCTCTCAATTGGGGAGCACTCGGTCCCATGATTGCTCGAGAAATGTTACAAGCAGTCTTCGGAGAAGGTAAAATAATCATACATGTTAAAATATTAGTGAGCGTACGTATACATGTAAAAAAGTGAGAAAAAAATTTCAAAAAAATTAAATAAATAAATAAAATAATCAGACTTTCAGATGCTATATCACACCCAAATGAGAGTTTTTTTAACGTTTTGTGTGTTACCTTTATTTATTAAATATCATGTTTTTCGCACTTTAGTTCCATGAACGCCATGAACTTTAGTTCAGCAGTAATATCACAAAACAATTTAAAAAGAGCATATCTTTAGAATCTCCGATACACAATCCCGCGGGCTGGAGACAAAAACTTTTTTTTCGTACAGTGTTGCCATTCCTCGCTTTGAAATCGTTGAGTTTGTTAATCAAAAATTCGTTAAAGTGTTACAAAACACGAAACCGATAAAAAGAAAAAATTCCAAAGTTGGGCTTCCAGATGTCCGTATTCTAATAGAAGACTACGTTATTCAAATTTGATGTCTCTAGGTGCCGTTGTTTTTTCATAGTGCGAGAAAAATATATACGTTCATTGAGATTCTTCATTATTTAATTTCTTTAAATATAATGCAGGACTCTAATATTTGGTGGCAACAGTTTGAAAAGTGAAACGCCGTTTGTAGCGAACCAACGCAAAATGCCTAAGATAAATTAATAGCCCTTCTGTTCTAACGCCCTTTGGGCTAAACATGTAGAGCTCTGTTTAATTCTTTTGCGTCGATATGGGCCAAAATGTGTTCCTGTCAAAGAGCTAAAACACACTTATACGAATTTTTGTTGGAATGAATTTCTTTCCACGGATAATTAGAATTTCATGAGAAGACTTAGGTTATATAAAAATCCATGCAATATTCAATAAACGTATTTTGCGAATGCTTTAGTATGTTAGCAAACAGTTTGAATACCCTGATTGCTAAAAGACTTTTAAAACTTTGCTTGACAGTTAGAGCGAAATCATTTGCGAAAGAAAAATGGCGAAATCAAATGTAATAAGCAGGCATGTGTATGTTAATCTCCGCTAAAACACTCTGGACATTTAAATAAAATATCAAGCTCATAAAATATACATATAAATAATATGATTTCGTGAAAATATCTTTCCGAAGATTTAAAATTAGTAAATCTTTCAACTTTTAACAGAAATATGCCTTCGATTAAGACTTAGTTGTATACATAAACTTAGGTGGAACACCACTTATCTGATGAGTACAAATCTGAAAAATACTGAAGTAATATAAATTATATTTTCCAAAACTGGGAAAAGAAATATTTTTGAATATCCATAATATTATTTATGAAGTGTAGAGCAACATTAAACATAGGTTTGCTTTTTTTTCAATCTGTTCAAATATTTCAGTCTGTCAATAGTCATCAAAATCACTGCTCTCTCGTAAGTGAAGTCATCAATGATCAGTCGTTGCAGAATTGTTTATTTAACTGAAGTCACCATCGATCATTCGTTGTAGAATTGCTTAAATATGATGTGCGAATCATTTGATGCACCATAGCAACCACAAATGTTTGCCGTCTTGGAAATCAGATAAAAGCATAGGATTAAATCAGCTTACCCAGCTTTTATTTTTAACGGAATAAATATTTCCGATAATTTAACTTTTATAACTAATACTGTCAAGATGTCGACTTTTATGTCCCTCTTGTAATCGCGCTCGTAATTTTTCTAAAAGCTGTTGATAAATGGCGCGCGGAATAGCTGCTATCTCATAATATTATGCTTTTATTGGATTATTACTCTCAGTTTATTTTTTTATACCAGACTATACTGTCCTCATAAAGAAATCAATGGAGAAAGATCAAGTTTCTTTTGAGGCTGTGGAATTTCGTCTCTAGGAGCAATCAAGTTATTGGGGAACATTATTTAATCAAGAATACGAACAGGAAACGTTTGAACTATGACATGAGGCCTCCTCCTTTTGAATTCAAATCTTCTGTTGTTATAGCTTTCATATTCTTGTAAACAGGCTGCCCAAAGTACTGGTCATTCCCTCTCGACTTCTAGCCTCTGGCCCATTTTCTCCGTTTTACAGAAATCATGGCTGTTCTGCTTGTTTCCCATTTGTAGAGGAATAGTTTGTTGGTCCATGATTCTTTAAATTAACACTGGGGTAATAACCGTACAACTACATTATAATCCTTCTTTTTATGAACGTGTTTTATACAAAAAAGCGTTCACCTGTACAACGTTCAGTGGCCACTAAAATTCCCAGAATGGACCTGCCCTTAATAACCACCCGCGGGTTCCAGCAGAAAACATCGCGCACAAAAACGTGGCGGAGAAAACAACGCAAGGTGAAAATTGACGTGGTACAAAACATCCTGTGAGAAAAAAAAAAAAGAAAAGAAAAGAAAAGAAAGCAGTTCTAAAACATCGTGGTACAAAATATCGTCGTCGAAAATAAAGCGGTTTAAAAACGTCGTCGTCGAAAATATCGTCCCAAAAAATAAAGTACCTACAAATCATCACATGACGATAACATCACACATATGCGTTTTTCAGAATTTACAAGTTGTAAATGCATATTAGCATAAGGATATGGAAACGCAAGAAATGCTAACGACACTTTAAGAATAAACAGAAATAAAACAAGATATAATTTTCGCCAAAACAATATCAGATTAACAAACATGAAAGATAGTTAATTAATTTGATAATTAACTGAGCACTTTTTATAGTGGTAACCTGACGCAGTTATTTATCTTCCTTTTTCTACACATGTTTAGGCTGTATTTTTCATGAGAAAATTATGAGTAAAACTTTATAAAAAAAAAGATTAATTCATTAATGACCTTTGTTAATTAATAGTGCTATAAGTTGCATTAATTCTGTACTCATTTTCAATGTTAAGATGTTTAAGTTTCCTTCTTACTTTTCAACAAAAATTTATTAGTCCATTCAAAAATATGAAATATAAAAGTAAAAATTTCCTTCTTGCGCTCCCAAATCGTTATGCGAAAAATCATTTACATCTTTTGAAACCTTGAAAACACATGTGTGCATTATTATGGTCAGGCGATGATTTATCCTGACCATAATAATGCACACATGTAGGTGCTTTTGTTTTACCATGATATTTTCTACAACGATGTTTTTAAAACCGCTTTACTTTTGACGACAATATTTTATACTACGATGTTTTCTCTTTGCTTTCTTTCCTCCCACGACGTTTTCGGCTTGCGTTGTTTTCTCCGCGACGTTTTCGTCTGCGATGTTTTCGGCGGATACCCCACCCGTACACCTTTCCCTTAGATGGTTTTACCAGAAAACAAAATTACCTTTTGCAAAAATTCACGGACCACCCTACATATTTTAAAAAATCCATAGATCATTTTTTCAGTCTCGTTTTAGAGTGTAAATACACGAAATTTTTATTCAGATCTGCAAGCAAGTAGGTCCAAGGGGGTAGGAGCTGAAAGTGGCGTGACCGCTTATCACGTGAGCAGTAAGCAACCATGGGACTTGTACGGGATTCCCAGAGAAATTCTGTTAAAATATCATAATTTACAAAATTCAAAGCAAGTAATATACAAATCATAATTAAAATAGCTGCAATTAATAATCTTGTGTGCTTTTTACAACTATACAAATACCAAAGTTCAACAGGAAAGTTAACAAGACATAATGATAGAGAGTCCGGAGGCCACGAGGGTGGTAGATCTACAAGCGGGAAGTAAATGGAAATAAATATGTTCATTTTAAGATTTAAAAATTCGTATGTTACCATTTTCTTCACATTTTATCATAACTGTTTCACCGACTTTCAGAGATTTCGGTCTTTTACCTATGTTTTCAATGCAATCTCACAATCGACACCTTACATCATGGATCGAATAACATCAACGATTTTTAACCCTCTGCGGCACACTGTGTTCAACCCTTTGCGTCACACACCTAAAAATGTCCTTCTGTAGGCAAAGAAAAATTGAATGAAAAGAATTTATAGGTTACTATATGTTACTCTGAACCTTCTTTATTTATAATATACAGCAGCTCAACACAAACCAGTCCACATATTTTAGCCATGTTTAGTTTTTTAAGACCCTCATTTTTCAAAGAAATCTTCCAGATTTTTTAGGGTATAAAAAGGAATTGTTTGAAAAGAAATTTTTATGTTATTTTTTGGCTGTATGCTAATCTCCTTATTATATATTAGTTTCAAATTTTTTCCTTGAAATCTTGCCTAAAATCAAACCGCGAACCCCAGGTGTGCCCAGACCGAGCTCACCGATAATCTAGGACAACTGAGAGTCTGTATTCTTTGTTTCTCCGCATCTCATTGGCATTTTTGACAGCAATGTTCGTTTCAGCACTCTTTTCGAAGCTCTATTCAATCAGTGTGCCCACTTTAGACACACCCACAGAATTAAATGATAAATGGTATCTTCACAAAATCTTACTTGTGTACTCCTCTAGGCCTAATTAGACTGCCTACCTTTTTTTTTTTTTATCAAAACTCCAACATCACTACCTTTTTTACATCAAAACGCCAACATCACTACCTTTTTTTCATCAAAACCCCAGCAACACTACCTTTTTTTCATCAAAACTCCAACATATAAAAGGTAGCGTGCCGGAAAGCGTTAAAGAATTCTGATTGGTTCTGTTTCGAAACGTACTGCCTTTTTAACGTATTTCAGGTAGCTCCACTTGTTTCCTTCTCGTCACTGTTAAAGTAATTCGTAAAACTATCCGTCTCTTTCTCAAAAATACTCACCTTCTTACATTTTGACATAAAATCCTTTTGGTGGAAGACGAGTGCCAACTCTTAAACTAGGGAGACATGCGCGAGTTTTGCTTTAAATTTCAATAGTACCTCTTGGAGAAGGAACAGGCACGCTATCGTAGACGAGTTCCTGCTGGATATTTGTACTGTATGATTCTTGTTGATAATGAGAGATGATTATACTTATTTATTACCCATTCTTATGGAATTATGATACAACAGATAGGTTGATTTACTCTTCTAATTCATCCAACACTTTAAATGCGCGCCCACATTCCAAGCTCTTGTCGCCTTTTAAATTTACCTTATAAATTCCATTTGCTTTGCAACCGCACAGGGGAGAAAAATACAAGTGTTAAAAATTATAACTACCATTTAGGAAATAAATAATTGCTTAAGATTTTTATTAACTAAAATGATGTCTCTTTCATGTGCCTTTTGTTAATATTGATGTTGACATCACAGGTCATTCGCATGATAACGTCGACTGGTGGAGCCGATATGTGGTGAGGACATTCAATTCGTTCGCCTTTTGTTTCTATATGCAATATAAAAACTATACTGAAGATGACTATGGATTAAACTTAAAAGTAAGACACATTTACGACTTTACACTCTTTTTGTATATGATCCGTTTAAGCTAATAATAAAAGACTACTTAAGTTGGATCAACCATTCAGGATGGTCAAGATGGGCAATTTAACTTTAAAAAGAAATGTGTTACATCTCCCAAAAAGAAACGTTTTTGAAGCAAATGCTGAAAATAAAAATTAATAGAATTCAGCAAAGTGTCTGGCATCATGTATGCTTTATTTTGAGAAATTTTTAAGGCCATTTAAAAGTCAATCGAATTTTTACTTCCTTATACGAAGTAAAAAGGAAGTATTGTAATCGCGAAAAGTTTCAATAGTACCTCTTGGAGAATATTTCAACGAAAATATCCATTTTGACCGCTATCGAATGCAATTTAACGATGTTTTTGCGTGATATCTGTACGTAAGGACAGAATAAAAGACTCGTTTCCTCCAAAAAAAATTATAAAACTGCTTTAAAACTAATTCTGAAGAGAATTTTTCGTGGCGTCTGTACGAACGTATTTACGTACGTATCTCGTATTTACGTACGTATCATCTTACGTATGTATCTCTCAAAAACGAGTAGCCTGAGAACGTTGAAATTTGGTATATAGGACTCCTATAACATGTCGATGTGCACCTAGTATTTTGGTTGCAATCGGCCGCACGAAACGTATAAAATTATATTTATATATATATCCATTCTGTTACCCGGCTCAGTGATCTCAGTTTCTTTACCCTTATATGTTTGTAAATTGTACATTTTTTTGCTTTAAAAATGATTGTATTATGTTGTTTTTGTTGTAATCATAGCTAAGTAGAGGAATGCTTTCATTTTCTACCTTGTACATATTCTTGAAGAATTCTCTGGCAATTTTGGCTATGAATTTTTTAATTTCTAGAACTTTAAGTTCTTTGTGAATGTCTGCATTTCTAATACACCAGTGACTCTTGGTTATTTGCCTAAGCGTAACATTCTGTAATACTTGCCATTTTTGTCATATGTACTGTATTGGCAAAGCCCCAAACAGGACAGGCATAGGTTATAATGGAACGCAACACCGCTTTGTAAAAGAGCAATCTTTTTTTTTTTTTTTTTTTTTTTTTTTTTTTTTTTTTTTTCCATAATACTGCAACTGACTTATCCACATTTATTTGTATCTTCCACTTTTTAAGCCAGGCTTCAAGTGTTTTTTTTTTTTTTTTTTTTTTTTTTTTTTTTTTTTTTTGTATGTGTATTTGTAATGCTTGTACTACATGGTTTAGGGATGCATTTTTGCAAGGATCGCCGTGTCGTCAGCATGCATGGCTTTGTTAAGGTAGATATTTTCGGGTTTTAGTGTATGGGGTATGTGGTATGTCGTTCGTATATAATAGAAAGTAAATAGGACCTGTCAGAGACCCCTGAGGGACCCCTGGAAGTATGTTTCTCTGAGTAGAATATGTATTTTTACAGCGAACGACAAAGTGCCTCTCATAGAGATAGGATCTAGTGGTGTTTACGATGTACCCTGGGAAACCAGAGAAATAAGTTTGTAAAGTAAACCATCTAGCCACACGAGGTCGAATGCCTTCCATATATCGAGAAAAAGAGCTCCAGTGCTTTTTCTTTGAAACCTTCAGCGATGAATTCTGTCACTCTATACAGGTGACAGGTGACGGAAGACGGGGACGCCTGGTGTTTAACATAAGTAAACAGGCGTGTGTCCCACGCCCTCCCCTATCTAGAAATAACAACTCCCTGGGGCCCCGTGAGGCTGCCTCGGGAGTTTATAATACAGATCTAAAGATCAATACATGGCCAAACAAGGGCTGAGGATTATTCTTTGACAATGGTTGCTTGACAATAACTTTGTTAGTGTGCATGGCTGTTGGAATAACACAGATACATAAAAATATACAAAACAAATACAAGAATAGATACATATACAGGCAAAAACAAACAAATACTAACAGATACGAACATAAGGATGCATTGATATTAAGATAAATATGAAGAGAGACACATATGTAAGATACGAGAGTAAAAACAAGAGTAATAAATACTTAAAAGAAAACTAAAATACAGAGTGGGATAAAGGGAGTCATATGTGTATTGCTAGTATCCTTGTCGTTGTAAATGTGCTATGAGCACTTAAACACAGAGATGAAGCAATTAGTACCGGATGTAGAGTTATGGTGTCAGGAGTTAGTGTTAGAGTTCGCTGAAAGTACAGTCTGCACTATAATTCAAATTTGCAAGAGTTCAGGCTACACTAAAGTTTAGTGTACACTGTGGTACTAATACCACTAAATTTGGAGTTTGGCACAGTCACTAAGTTTTAATGCAATTGCTATAGGTTGGTACAGTCGCTACAGCGCAGGCACTATGTTAGGCACAGTAATTTCAGTATACAGTCGCAATGGTTGCACAGTTACTATGACTGTGAACAAGTTTAAGAGAATTATCTAATTCACATTGTAGGTACTGATGTTCACTGATGATGTGTGCACTTATGTAGTGCTTAGGCATAGTCGGAGTTGGTGCATGATGTATACGTGCGGTGTACCATGCATTGCAATAGGTTGGAAGGTGATGTAGGCATTCGAAGGCACTTTGAGTTGACACAGTTGGTACTCTGCTAGCACACCGGTAAGGTAAGTTCTAAAGAAGATTGACGTGTGCACGTAAAGTTGAAGGCTTGGTGGTGAGGAGCTTTTGTTTAAAAACTTGTGGGGGTGGCCCCTGAGTGAAAAGCTTTTGAAAAGGTTGGATAGTCGGTAGGGGGGACGAAAAGATTATCGTGTTTAAAGAGTTGCTGGATGGGTCTTGGTCTATTGCGGTGAGCAGATATTTTGGCCCATTGCCCCGATTTCAGTGATAGCTTTGCAGATTTTGGTTATGGCTGGCTTGTGAGTGATGATAAAGCGGTGGTACGCATCTCTGTTCATGGTTGGACATGGGAGATGATGGTCTTTTGTCAGCTGGCAGGTGAAAAGATAGTGGTCTGGGTTGCCTGGGGCTCCACAGACGCATTATCTGTTGATGAGATGTTGTGCCTTTGAAAGTAGCTGGGGAATGGGCTGTGTCCCGTGATATATCGTGTCAGCGGAGCGATTGCGATGTGTCTATCCGTGCTGACTTTTGGGAAGAAATCGTAGGTGCGGCGGCCAGTTGTGCTATGGTTCCATTCCTCCTGCCATTGTTGGAGCCCTTTACTCCGGAGCTGCCCCTTTAGGTAGGAAGGTGGGGCTTGAAGGTGGATCTGCTGTGCATTTGAGTCGGTTACTGCCTGATTGGCTAAACGGTCTGCTGACTCACTGCCTTCGTTGTTGGCATGTGCTTTTATCCACATCAGCGTCGTGTGCATATGGGAATTTTGCTGCAAGAGGAGCTGAAGGGCGATGACTAGTGGAGATCTGTGCTGATGGTTCTGGAGGGCTTGAAGTGTTGAGTAGCTGTCTGTATGAAGTGTGGCATGAGTTAGATCATTATGGACAATGTGCTGCATTGCTGCTGTGATGACCAGGACCTCCGCTTGGAAGATGCTGTTGTGATTTTGGAAATGACCTTTCCATTCTTGTTCTAACAGGCCATCCTGGTAGTGGATGTAGGCACTGCCTACACCTTCCTCTTGTTCGGAACCATCTTTAAAGATGTGGTACCTTGTGAAGGTACTTGCATTCCAGTGTTGGTAGAGGTGCGTGAGATGATGACAGAAATTCCTTTGCCTTTAATTGCCGGGTGTGTGTGGAGAGGGTGTCCAGGTGTTTCAAACTGGACTGGGCTGTAGGTGCTGTTGTAGAATGTGACGTCTTTTCTTAAGTATACTAGAGTTGTATATGCCGCTTCCATTTCTACTTTGATGTGGACAGGCAGCAACGCCGCAAGGACAGTCACCGCACTTGTTGCAGTTGTGCGAAAGGCTTTCGTGAGGTTGAGGGCGAAGGATACCCATACTCTGAATGGGTCCCATATTGTGAGGACATGGGACGGAGGTCCTTCGTCCAGTGTGTCTGTACATAAGGACAAAATAAAAATGCACTTTTTCCCCAAACAGATTATAAAATGGACTTAAATGGATTCGGAAGAGATTTTTTCGTGACGTCTGTACGTACGTTCGTATGCACGAGATACATACATGAACGTATGTACGAGTTTATACATACGTATCTCGCATAACTTATAAACGAGTAACCTCCCAACGTTGAAATTTTTTATATAGAACTGCTATAGCTCTGCGCCTCCCTTTTTGGTTTCAATCGGCAGCACCAAAAGTATATATATATACATTATGCATTTTTTGCTTTAAAAATTATTGAATCATGTTGTTCTTATCTTCCGGTTAAGGTTTATGCCTTTAGTTAATCTGCATGTGCAGGCAACAGTTGTGTAATTATCAACAATTTAATGCTTGTTTAAGTGCGGCTAAGCCTAATTTTTTTAGTATAGCAGCCATATTTGTTTATCTTTAAAACTTAGCAGAATAGGGAATCAAGTCAGTTTCTGCACCTTCAGTGTCTTTTTGCCGAGTGGTTTGAGCTCTGAAAAATCTGTCTTCTTGGCCGCTGGTCGAATTGCTTGTTTTTGCGTAGAAACTAATTTTAACTGTAAAAGAAATTGATTGTTTATTTGTATTTGGTGTTTTGTGTTCTTCTATATTTTTCCTTTGTTAAGGAAGATATTTTCGGGATTTATGTATTTTTGCCTTGGCCCGTGGTGACAACTGAATTAATTGAATGAGAAATCTATCTCAAATGAAATTCGAGGAAAATGTTTCGATGAAATGCAGCAAAAAATACGTATAATTTAATATTCTGCACAAGAAAGTCATGTGGTGTCCGCATAAGATTTCTTTAAAGTAGAATTAGAGTAAAGTTTTTGGTCTCATGGCGGTATTGTGATTGTGGCTGGTGAGAGCCTACAGATAGGATTGCGGGCTAGCAAGTGCCCGCGAGCCACAAGTGGGATCCTGCTCTCTTATAATGGGATATGCATAAAATAATTCTGAAACTTGATTGTGTTCATATTTCTATATTTATGACACTTATATAAAAATTTAAAAATTAACAGAGCGTTTATCTAATAAAACCGTTTTCTATCTTAAAATTTAAACCTGAGCTCATGTGTTATAAAATAGATTTAATAAAATGGCAGGAGAATTACTTTATAGCAGATTTTTAAATTAAATTTTCTTAACCAGAAATCACTTTAGGTTATCATAAAAAGGAGTGTAATATTATTTTGAGAAAGAAGAGATGCATTGTATGGTACATGCGTGGTAAGTGTGCACCAAACATCTTCAAATTCCGAGTATAATATTTCAAAGAAAATATCCATTTTAAACGATATCGAACGCAATTTAACGATGATTTTGAGTGACATCTCTACGTAAAGACAGAATAAAGGACACTTTATTCCCAAACGGATTATAAAATGGATTTAAATGGATTCAGAAGAGATTTCTTTCGTGACGTTTGTACGTACGTACGTATGTACGAGATACCTATATACATATGTACGAGATACATACATGAACGTAAGTACGAGTTTATATATACGTATCTCGCATAACTTATAAACGAGTAACTCAGAAAGTTGAAATTTTGTATATAGGACTGATATAACATATAGTTGTGCTCCTCCCTTTTTGGTTGCAATTGGCAGCACCAGAAGTATATATATTAGTTTTTGAGCTCAGTTTTTTACTCTCATATGATGGTAAAGTGTGCATTTTTTTGCTTTAAAAATGATTGAATTATGTTGTTCTTATCTTCCGGTTAAGGTTTATGCCTTCAATTAATCTGCATGTGCATGCTACAATTGTATAATTGTTAATAATTTAATGCTTGTCTAAGTGCGACTAAGCCTAATTTTTTTACCATAGCAGCCATATTTTTTTGTGTCGTAAGAGTGCACAAAACATCTTAAAAGGGACTCTTCTTGCATAGCAATTCTATGTACGCTTTTCTTAGAACTGAAACTTTCCCCTGAAACTATTGTATTTTTCACAGGTGAAAAGCAATGAAACAAAAATACAAAATGTATTTGACAATGCTGGTTTGAATTTGGCTTATGAGGTAAGAAAAATAGCTCAATTTTTTGAAACCGTAAAATTATTATTTAAGTTTTAATTACAGTACAGAAAGAGACCAAATTCAAGGCACAGTAAAAAGTTGATATTTCTAAGATTTATGTATTTTACCTAAAAACTCGAAGATTGTTTAAGTCCCGGATTTTACAAGTAAAACGTGGCATTTAAATAATGTTGTGCGTTGATAAGCTGTTCACTTTCAAACTTTACTAATGTATTTCAGTAAATAGCAAGATAAAAAAAACTGTTAGTAATAACTACTTAGCAAGACGTTTTCATTCATACCCTTCCTATCACTCTATTTTCACCCACGCTTTTCATGCGAGAATGTAAATGAGATAGATTCAGATTTCAGATTAAGGTAGGAAGCCGTTTATTCAGATTAAGGTAGAAAGAAGTGCTATTTAAGCAAGAATTTTGGAAGTTTGTGTTGGAGCGTGTCTGCCTATTCCAGGCCACTTTGTGCCGGGATTGTTAAGAGGTTATCACATCTAGCGATGGGCTAGATGTGATAACCTCTTAAACCCTGCTAGACGGGACTTCTCTGAGAGATGAGATTCTGGTTGCACTGGTTTAAACTGGAGGATTCCTACAAAAAACAGCTCCGCTGGGAAACGAGGTCCCGCTAGCTACGGAAACGATGTACCAGCTACGAAGGATTTTTTAGACACCTTGCCGAAAATGTTTCGGCTCTGTCCCTGGTAAAGATCAACCGATCTGACGAAAGTTCTGCTTCTGAAGGATCACGTGATCCCAATCTGAGCGGTAATCGATTACTGTTTGGCGCTCAAGTTTTTGCAGTAAGTGAAAATGGTAACCTAGCTACCTGGGTTGCCTGGAAATGTGCAGTTCTGAGAAGCATCCCTTTCGACGTCCAGCCCCTCGTAGTCGAAACATAATGTGATTGGGACTTAAGCGGTTTGATTCTAAGGCATTGAGTGCTTCTAGCCATTGGGGTTGTTTCGCCGGTTCTTCTACAAACTAGAGCCTTTCCTAAGCATTAAATTATTCTGTGAGCTGCTATGGTAATTTGAATTTGTTCAACGTAGCGTATTTCTGTTAAGCCAGAAGTGCTTGTCTTGTGTAAACCCATGTTGGGTCTTTGTTAATTTTTGTGTTCGAATAATAGGACGATTTACATCCGTCTTCTTTCTTTCTTTGTTTGTAGTTTAAGACAAGAGGATTATTCCTCTACAGTCTTTTTAGTGTCCCCCATTTTATGTTACCAAAGACGGTAAGACTCTAGAAAAGAACAATTAAAATTTAAACACATAGAAACTTGAAAGGAAAAATCACAGTGAAAAAAACGACTTTCAGGAATTAGTAAATGCTACTGTGATGTGTGATCATAAACAGAAACCCACTGGTTCCAAATGTCAGATTTATTTCGTTTAGGTCTCTATTTGTCCAGGTCTGACCGCCTACGCGGGATCAGTAAACGCCTTACTTTTTTTTTTTTTTTTTTTTTTTTTTTTTTTTTTTTGTACCGTTAGCAGCTTTCAATAATGTCATTTCAGAGATAATAAACTGCAAAAACACTATTACATCTTTAGAACTCAGTCACGCGGTTTTATCTTTTGTAGTGTTGCCAAGAAATTCAAGATGAATTTAAATGGGCAGCTTATTAATAATCTTTGCGGTTTGATTCCCACACTAACTATTTATTGAAGTAGTTTGCTAAAAGCCTAAAATGAAAGTGTAGGGGAGCTTACGAGAGTTTCTGTTTATATTTCTGGCCTAATAAGGAAAAAACAAATGTTTATGATCGAAATTGTTTTATTGTTTTTTCAAAATATTCTCCAATACATGTTTGCACGCGTTTGAACCAATTTTCGAAGCTCTTTTCCCACACCGATTGAGGCAAATCCAAAACCTGCGTTTTAAATGCATCAACCGCTTCTTAGGGTGTCGCAAATCGCTGATCACGTAATTTAGATTTGATGTGCGGGAATGAAAAAAGGTCACTGGGTGCCAAATCAGGGCTGTACCGGATGACCCATTAATTCGATGTTTTCGCCTGTCAAAATTTCCTTTGTTTGAGCCGATGTGTGAGAGCTCTCATTGCCATGATGAATAATGATTCGCCTCCTCTGCTTTTTTCGAATTTCTCTCATAACTTCTGGCAAACAAATAGCCGTCTACCATTCGAAATTGACCTTTCTGCGTTACTCAGTCGTCACGTGGCCAGTAATGCCGACAAAACAGGCAAACATTTACTTCTTTCGTGAACAACTTTTATTGAATTTGGCTAGTCTTGGAAGACCCATACAACCGACTGCTGTTATGTTTCGGGCTCATATGCATAGATCTACGATTCGTCACCTGTGTAGATGTTATACGCAGGTTTTGATGCACCGTGAACGCATTTTTAAAACAGTTCCTTGCATCTTCTTTTGAGAATTTGTCAGATTATGCGGTGTCTAACGCGAACAAATCATTTTTGCGGAAAAATATTCATGTAATATCTTATTGATGCTTGTCATACTAATGTCCAAAGATGCCACAGACTCATGGTATGCCGCAGGATAATGTTTAACAATTAACGCACAGCATCGTTATTTTCTAGCACAACAACCGATTTTGGACGATCTTCCCGGAATTCGTCCTGGAACAAACTTCGACCGCGACATTATTCGTTACACCAATTTTTTACAGTGATGTAGAATGGTGCTTTATCGCTCTATAAAAACTTAAGTTCATCGAAGCACTCTTGTCTTAATAATTCATGTCGAAAGTTATGAAAAATAATCGCTCGAAAAATGTTCACGAATCAATTGCATTTTTTGCCCGGGATTTGTTTTTCCAATTTACTGTAAACATCACTAATCACGCTAAACTTGGGAAAACGTTCTGAGGATATTACGGTTAAAATATCAAAGTTTAGACTGGAATCGTCTGCGGTCGCCTAGCAACATTTACTGTTGCCACTGCCAGAAATATAAATAGCAACATTCGTATGTTTATTAATCGATTATTCATAATTTCTGTCTTTACTATAATTTGTCTGTCCTCACCATATTCCCCTTCAGAATGCAGATTAATAGTTAAAATTCAAACTGAGGCTTTTGGAATTGAGAAAAAGTGTGTTCGTAACATCGCATGTCACTACAGGGTAGTTTCCTCTAATAGTTGTAATTATTCGGCTATGCGGTTTCTCAATGCCGGCACTGACACTGAGCCAGCTTCGAGTAGTATTTAATTGTGTAGTCATTGACTACTTTTCAACATTTTATTGAAATTGGGATGATCGATTTATTTACATCAACACCAGTTGTGTTTATGTTCTAGCATAAGATAGAGCCTGTAAATTCTAAAGCTTGTTTAAATAAAAGTTTGGTTTTGATAGATTATGGCAAAGCACACTAGGGGTATTTGCCTAATCGGAAGTATACCTTCGTGGAAGACTTTTTAAGAGAAACGGGCAGTATACGCTCTACACACGGGGAAAACCACGAAAACGATCATGCAGCTAGTCCAGGAATCGAACCCAGGACGAGTGTTCAGTGTTGAGTGATTTTACTTCTCGTCCGCTGATGGTGCAAAAATAAAAAGGTTATTTTAACCTTATTAGAACTTTGTCATTGTTCTCAGATACAGCGATAATTACCTTCACGTTTATTAGGATTATTTTACTTGTAAGGTTTATTTGAATTTTATAACAGTTATTTTAATTTCAAAGTTTCTTTCCTATCAATTCTTGTTCCCACTTACAATTCCCTACCAGAATGAGTTTTCAGATTTCTCGTTGAATGCAAGCGAATTAGAAGAAGTATTTAAAGAAGGTTCAACTTACTTCCTGAGAGAGAACTAAAGCCCCGTTCACATGCAACGCTCCTTCGCACAGCTGCCGTTAGCAAGGGGAGAAAAAGGAGACATGAAAGAGTTTCGTCTTTAGGACCCGTTCAGAGGACCACCGGTCTTCCTTCCCCTTTACACCTAAGCCTCTGTGAACAATCACGTCTCCGAATTCGCAGATTTCTAATACTGTTTACACATTTTTAACGTTGTTTACTGTTGTTAATTTTGTAATCTGGACTTTCGCAACTGGTATCTGAACTTTCGTAATGGTTTCTGAAAAATATATGCTTTTTAATTATTATTATTATTATTTTATAAGCTGTTATTTAGTTCACTCTTAGTGCTTGTTGCTATTTTTAAAAGATGATCATGGATTTTTAAACTGCTTTCCGATAAGATATAGAATTCAAACTTTGTACATACACTGCTTGTGGATGTGGTGTCATACTTTTGATTTTTAGAGGATTAGATTTTTTTCAAATTTAAAGTTGAAACGATTTTTTGCAAATATTCACAAATAAACTGAGAATCTCAGAATATTATAGTTTGCACCATAACACACTGTGGAGGAAAAAAAAATTAAATGAAATTTTTAGCGTAATTTTTTTTAAAAATATTTTGGGAGAATTTTTGAAAATCGTTCCTATTTTTAGACTGCTTGACACCCATTAATTTTAAAATTTCATATCTAAAAATATATCGGCTACAAACTTCCACATTTTTTACAGCTTATAAAACAAACGTTTCGCATTTAAAAAAAATTATACAGGAAATTAATTGGATGAGTTTTTTTACTTTTTTGAAAGATGTGCAATGAAAGAGAATGGGAATATTGGTTCTTTTTTTGGGCATCAGTTCGAAACAATCGGTTTTCAAAGTAATAATCTCATTATACCACACTATTTTTATGACATTATTTATGCTATATAAGTTGTAATTGTTGCGAATTGTTAGTTCAGCGTTAGATTGGAGATATTTCTGAGTTAACGTTCTCTTAAGATGCGTTTTGCATTCCGTTGTGTTTAACGTTCTTATTAGATTGAAGCATAACTACTGATTATACTTAGTGATATTCTAAACACTTGTACGAGTATTTCTGTGGAAAATTCCAGAACTTTGAAGTGTTTTTGTTGATAAAATAAATTTAATTAAGCTATCATCGGATTTGAATGCAATAACAATCATTTA